TGACATGATTCACTCACATTTTTAACAAGATTACTCTGGCTACTGTGTGGAGAATAGACTATAAAGGGGACAAGGGATAGAAATCGGATACTAGCTGGGAAGCTATTACAATAATACAGTAGAGAGGGAAAAGTGATTTGGACCAGGATAGTAGGAATGACTCAGTAAGAAATGGTCAGATTATGAATGTACTTCTCTAACATTTTTTATTGTAAAATGCAATAAAAAGTACATAAAAGCACATGAAACACAAGTATAGAGCATAACAATTATAAAGTAAACATCTCTATAGCCACCACACAGATCAATAAATAGAGCACCACCAGGACCCCAGGAGTCCCTCATATAAACCTCTTACCAAACAAACTTTTCTCCCTTGAAAGTGACCTGCCTTTTATAATAGTCATTTCTTTGCTTTTCTTTCCTGTTTTTAAACTTTATATAAGTAGGATTATACAGTGTGTAATTTGTCACCTTGTCTTGTCTCACCCAACACTGTTTGTAAGATTTATCCATATTGCATGGAGCTATACTAGGTTCCTTGCAATCTCTCTAGAATATTGGATTGTCTGAAAATGGATCACCATATTTATCTAGTCAATTGTTTATAGACATTTGGGTTGTTTTCAGTTTTGAACTATCATGAATGCCCTTTGAATATTATTGTCTATATCTCCTGGAGCACATGCATGTGCCTTGCTCTAACATACATCCAGGAGTGGAATTGCTAAGTCATAGAATATGATACATTCAACTTTACTAGATAATGCCAACCTGTTTCCCAAAGTGGTTGTAACCATTTCTCCTGCCTCAGCATGTTTTGATGATTCCAGTTGCTCTAGAATTTTAACACCTAGTATCTCAGTTGTTTTAATTTTAGCCATTCTGATGTAATATTATATTCCATTTAATTTTCAATTCCCTGATTATCTATGTGATCAGTCACATTTTTATACGTTCTTGGTAATCTGAATATCTTTGGGGAAGTCCTGCTCAAGTCTTTTGCCCATTCTTTGCCTGTCTTTTTTTTTTCTTTTTTCATTTTTAAAATGTTTTTTTATTTAATTCTATATTAGCTTTATGTATAGTAAATACCTTTCCCCATTCTTTGCCTTGTATTTCACTCTGTGATGTCTTTTGATGAAAATAAGATTTGAATTTTAATGTTGCAGAATGTACTGATATTTTCTTCCAATTGTTTTTTATATCTTAGGGTGGGGTGGAGAGAACTTCCCTACCAGGAGATCAAGTGGTTTCTTTTATTTTATTTTTATTTTTTTTTTATTTTAATTTATGATAGTCACACAGAGAGAGAGAGAGAGAGAGGCAGAGACACAGGCAGAGGGAGAAGCAGGCTCCACGCACCGGGAGCCCGACGTGGGATTCGATCCCGGGTCTCCAGGATCGCGCCCTGGGCCACAGGCATGCGCCAAACCGCTGCGCCACCCAGGGATCCCAAGTGGTTTCTTATATAACCTTCTAGAAGATAAAGGAGAAAGTAGTCTCCTATATTACCTTCCAGATTTATTTTTGCCTTTCATACTAGGCCTCTAATCCACCTGGAATTGATTTTTTTTTTTTACTAATGGAGTAAGGAAGGGATCCCATTTCTTTCTCTCTCTTCCGTCACCACTCATGTCTATCTCCAGAGATTTATTCATCTGTCCTAGCCTCACTTACAAAGTACATCCTTTCCCCACTGATGTATCACACAACCTCAATCATACATCAAGTGTTTGTACATATGGGGATTTGTTTCTGGGCTCTCCACCATGCTCCACTGTCTATTGTCTATCCCTACTTTCATTCCACACTGACATCATTACTACAGCTCTGTGTTAGCCTTGATGTGTCATAGAATAAACCCTCCAATCTCCTTCAACTTCAAGAGTGCATTGGCCATCTTCAGCCTTTCCTACTTCCATATAAATTTTACTTTTTTATTTTTTTAAAGATTTATTTATTTCAGAGAGAGAGAGAGAGTGAGAACAGGGAGAGCGGCAGAAGAAGAGGAAGAGAATCTCAAGCAGACACCCCACTGAGCATGGATTCCAATGCAGGGCTCAGTCTCACAACCCTGAGATCATGACCTGAGCTGAAGTCAAGAGTCTAATCCTCAACTGACTGAGCCACCCAGGCACTCCTTCCATATAAATTTTAGAATCGGGTTATTAAATTCCACAAAAAGTTGGAATTTAATCAGGATTACATTTATTCTATAAACCAGTCTGGGAAGAACTGACTGTCATCCTAACCAATCTGTCATCTCGGTATAGCTCTCATTTTAGATATGTCTTTTTTAATACCAGTTTGATTTTATTTTCTTTGAAAAAGACTTACACATCTTTTATGGGATTTAGTCCTAAACACATAAAATGTTATGCCATTTAAAATCATATCTCTAAAACAATTACCTTCTTTGTTTGCTGGGAAATAAAATGATCGATATTTATAAATTGATCTTTGTATCCAGCAACCTTTCCGAATTCTCCAATTAGTTCTAATATCTTGTCTGTAGACTTTATTGGAGTTTCTTATTATCTTCAAATAATGACAGCTTGTTTCTTACTTTGCAGTTCTTAGAAATTTCCTCTTTTCCTTACTTACTAAGCTGGTTAGGGTCTTTCATAAAGCATTGACTCCAAAGGTTTCATTGAATTGACTGAATTTGGGTTTCATGTTTTGAAGGCACAACCAAGAGGAGTTGCTGACCAATTATAGTTAGGCTGTGAGAGAGAGAGGCATCAAGGTTGAGTTGAAAGTTTTGGGCCTGAACAACTGGAAGAATGGCACTGTCATCTACTGCAGGCAAAGCCAGAGATTTGTTGATCATATAGTGTTGGTAATTTCAATGAAGATAAATAAAAACCGACTTATACTTTTTGGTGATGATCTCTCTCTCTCTCTCTTTAGCCTGGTTTTCCACCTCTGAAATAATTCACTCCAGGAAGGATTTAAACATATACAAATGCTCTCAGTAGGGTTTGACTTGTGACTTCCTGTTTAGCCACTGCCCTCTACAAGGGGGCTTGCCTGAATATGAACTGTGCACTCTGATTAAAATCTGAACCAAAAACAGAGAAAGAGATACTTTGCCCTCTAGCCTCAATCGTTCCTATTTTATTACACACAAACACACACCTATCTTGTTTTGCAAACTTTCTCAAGTCAAATAATTAAAAGAGAATCTCTCTCACCAAGGTAGCCTAATGCCTGCAAGTAGTTTGTCTGAAAGAAGTCCTAGAACGGCCAGCTGCATTTCTGTGGTGTTAACCTAAAAACAATGAAGAGAAATGAAGGGGTAACTCCCGCCGAAGAGATTCTGGGTCATACAAGAGCTCATTGTCCCAGCTAGAAGGCCAATTTGACCATCCTTTATCACATAGCTCTCAGGGCATGGTAAAGCCTTAGGCATTCTTGCACAAAGAAGCAAAACTGTAACAATCCTTTGGTTGTTTAACCTACCCACCCCAGTTCCCTGATGTTTATTCAACACACATGTAAGACATCTCATTGGGGCTAAGCGCAATAAGCCAGCTGCCTCTTCCCCCTCTCGCCCCTCACCTGCCACCCAATCTCAACAAAGTAAGCTCCAAAAAGGCAGTGGCATTGTCCTATATACCTCTCTGTCCTCACAGTCCAAAACAGTGCCTATCATATAAGAGGCATACAATCTTTTTTTAGAATTGACATTTTAAAGGTTTTTTTTAATTATCTTTTTTTTAAAAGATCTTATTTTTATTTATTCATGAGAGACACAGAGAGAGAGAGAGGCAGAGACACAGGCAGAGGGAGAAGCAGGCTCCATGCAGGGAGCCTGACGTGGGACTCGATCCCAGGTCCCCAGGATCACGCCCTGGGTGGAAGGCAGGCGCTGAACCGCTGAGCCACCCAGGGATCCCCAACATTTTAACGGCTTTTTAAAAATTACCTCAAAGGGTTAACTTTTCATTTACCGCAACTGAAAAACTCCATACTTAAATTGACTTTACTGACTTAAACTAAGTCAAAATTTAAAAAGTTTAAAATTGATGAGTCACTTACTAGCACTGTCATCACGTAGAGTTAAAAGCTGCCTCTAGGGAGTGCAAGTCTAAGGAAAGGAATGCCATTTTTAAAAATACGACCTTTAGCACTTTCACTTTTGGGTCCTTTGCAATTGCCTTGATTTTCTACTTTAGATGTGTAAATTACACACATTCCCAACATCCTAATACAACCCTTCATTGGGGGGACGACCCGCCTTCCTCATCAACATACACCCAGACCTTGTTTGCACTCCCAGCCGTGTATTTGAGAGTCAGCTTTTTTGCACTGACCCTCCCGTGGGTCATCTTTAGGGTCATCACCCTTAAGGGCGCTCCGTGTTCCTAGGCTTTATCACTATCGTGTGAACGTGGGCACTGATGCCACGACGTGTTGTTGCAACAGGATTTAACTAAACGCCCTACACTGGGCGGGATGAGCCCTGGGTGCTATGCTGTATGTTGGCAAACTGAACTCCAATTAAAAAATAAAAATAAAAAAAAATTTAAAAAATGTTTGTGAGTCGGGGGATCCCCGGGTGGCTCAGCGGTTCAGCACCTGCCTTCAGCCCAGGGCGTGATCCTGGGGTCCCGGGATCGAGTCCCCCATCGGGCTCCCTGCAGGGAGCCTGCTTCTCCCTCTGCCTGGGTCTCTGCCCCCTTCTCTCTCTCTCTCATAAACAAATAAATAGAATCTTTAAAAAAGAAAAAGAAAAACTAAACGCCGTAAAGTGAAGCGTTCAGGGTTGTTTCCACTTTTCCGCCGACAGTACCGCAGCAGCGCAGGCTTGGTGGCAGGTCTTCGAATCGCAGGGTTGGGCCGCTCCCGGGTTCCGCCGCAGGGTCCCGGAGTCGGGTTAGGAACCCAGCGCCGCCGCCCGGCGCCAGCGTGGCCCCGCCCCCCGGTGGGCGTGGTCACGCGCGTCCCCGCCCCCGCTGCGTCCCGACGCCCCGCCCCGCGGAGCCCGGCGTGCGGCGCGCGGGTGGCGGCGGCGGCGGCGGCGGCGGCTGCGCGGCCGGTGGAGCTCGGGGGCTCCGGGTCCTGGGAGGTCGGGGCCCATGGCTCCGTGGGCCGGGGCCGAGCTCTGGGCGCTGACGCCGCTGCGCGCCCTGTGGCTCACGCTGACCGCCGCCTTCCTGCTGACCCTGCTGCTGCAGCTCGTGCCGCCCGGCCTGCTCCCGGCCTGCGCGCTTTTCCAGGACCTGATCCGCTATGGGAAAACCAAGCGCGAGGGGCCGTCGCGCCCGGCCGCCTGCCGGGTCTTTGACGTCCCCAAGAGGTAACCGCGCCCCGGCTGCAGCCCGGGAAGCCGAGGCGCGGAGAGCCCGGGGCGCGGCTGGGGCGGCCGGCAGGGGGCAGCAGAGGCGGGCGCGGTCTCCCCGCGCGGCGCTGCCGGGGCCGGGCCTCGGGGCGCTGCGGCGTCCGCGTCGGGGACCGGGGCGGGGTGCGGGGGGAAGGGGGATGCCCGAGGCCCGCGGAGCGTCTCCCTCGGGGCAATGGCAGCGCTTCCGACTGTAGGCCTGGTCCCCGGGCGGCAGGTTAAAGCCTTTGGGCCCCCACTCTTCCCCCGCCCCCCTCCCCGCACTGTAGGGCGCATCATGTAGCTGGAGGCCCCTCCCTTGTGGACGCGAAGGCAGGCCTCAGTTTCCCCCATTTGTCCCTCCGACCCGCGAAGTCAGGACGGCGGAGGCGGCGAGCCGCGGGCCTCCCTTGATTCAATAAATATTTTAGTGCTTATTAGGAGCTAGGGACCGACCCTCCTCCTCGCTCGCACCTGGGCGCCCCCCCCCCCCCCCCCGCAGCGGCCCAAGCCTGAGCCCGCAGCTCTATCCGACTTTCAACAGACTTCACGACCAAGTTCGATGAAAGATTAAATCGTTAGGGCTTAAAGTAGGCTGCTTTCAGGAATCGTAAAGACGTGTTATAGTTTGCCTTTGTTTTTGTTGTTGTCGTTGTTGTCTTTTACTTTGAATTCGGAACACAGCTGGGAAGAGTCAGCCAAACACTTCTCGACGGTCTGGGGAGAAGCATTTCTGACTTTAAGATGCACCTCGGGCAGCCCGGGTGGCCCAGCGGTTTAGCAACGCCTTCAGCCCAAGGTGTGATCCTGGAGACCCGGGATCGAGTCCCACGTCGGGCTCCCTGCATGGGGCCTGCTTCTCCCTCTGCCTGTGTCTCTGTGTCTCTCATGAATAAGTAAATGAAATCTTTTTTTAAAAAAATGCACCTAAATGCATGTATGTAGGAAGGAGTCTAGAGGAATGTGAAAAGGTTTCTGATGTGTCAAAACACCGGGGTTATCGTTTGAACCTCTCAGAGACTGTCCCAGGTCCCCAGACAAGAATGTGGGCTGACTGTCATGTGGTTTCTGAAACGGAGATAACCCCCCCACTTGTGTCTGTTGGAGAAACAGTTGCCAGGTGTTGACGCTGAGAAGGAAGAACTGGGTCACCCAGGAGAGGAGGAAGGGGAATGAGGCCCTGGGAGGAGGTAGAGGTATTTAGCACAGGTTAGTCAATTTTTAATCAAGTCCGGTTGATCCTTTTCTGCTTTATAGCAGTGGCACTCCCGGATTATCACTTTTTTAATTGATAAAGTGAAGGGAAAAAAATTCTTTTTAAGATTTTATTTTTTCATGAAAGACATAAAGAGAGGCAGAGACATAGGCGGAGGGAGAAGCAGGCTCCATGCAGGGAGCCCAACATCGGACTCCATCCCGAGTCTCCAGGATCACACCCTGGGCGGAAGGCAGATGCTCAACCGCTGAGCCACACAAGCGTCCCGAAAAAAAAAAAGTTTTTTTTAAGATTTTATTAATTTATTCATGAGAGACACAGAGAGAGAGGCAGAGACACAGGCAGAGGAAGAAGCAGGCTCCATGCAGGGAGCCCGACGTGGGACTCGATCCCAGGTCTCCAGGATCATGCCCTGGGCCGAAGGCAGGTGCTCAGCCGCTGAGCCACACAGGTGTCCCAGAAAAATTATTTCTTAGTGTGAATTCTAACAACTTGTTTTCTGAATTTTGAAAAAGGTATTGGTGTCCCTAGATTAGACCCATTCAAATCATTCCCCACAGCCAACCATTTCTCGGGCTCCCGTACCCCAGCTGTTAATACTCAAGGGTACGACCACTAAGGAACAGACTTGGTGCTTTCCTTCATTCTTTACTACTCTTTGGGCTTGTTGCAGTTTCTCCCATAATTTACACCTTTGTCTTCTTTCAGAATTCTAGAGTAGAACCTCCCATGATGTCCAAGGGATGTTTTGTTTATTCAAAATTTAGACCATTTCTTTGAGTATTGGAAGAAGATACAGCAAGTCCAGGCCAATTAAAAAAAAGACCAAATGTGCCTAGTTACTATATTTAAATATTTTAACTTGTGCAAAATTCAATCATACTCTTAAAAGTGAAAATAAGCCCATGATTTTTACGCTTAGAGACAGCTGTAAATCACATTTCTGCATCTAAAAATGGTGCTTAGGTGATTTTGTTTGGGGTGTTTTTTTTTTCCTAAGGAGACAGGAATAACCTTAAATCAGTTCATGGCTTGTTCAGTTCTACAACCGATGTTGGGTAACGTTTTTTTCCTAAATTAAAGCGATGGTGCTTTTCTTGTTTTCCTTGTGCTTCATAGATTATTGACTTACCAGAAAGTCTAAATAAATAGGTGATCTCCGACATGAGTCAATGCTCTTGACTTGTGTGATGTTTATAAAAGTACTTCTAAATTTCCAAATGGCATCAAAGCATTGCAGTTGAATTAAGCTCTGGTAGCAAAAAAGCCATCCAGACTTTTCTCCCCAGGGTTCAGCAGTCCTAACCAGAGGTCCAGTGGACAGAATTCAAGGCAAACCTCCATTAGAAAAAAATTACATCTTCACTCACCTCTAGCCAAAATTCAGCATTTCCCTAATAATATATGTAATCAACAAACCACAATAGAACTAGCAGTACTTGCAATATTGGGACAACTTTTTTATTTATTTTATTTTTTTGGAACAACTTTTTTAATATCACATTAAGATTATTGAAGAGGGATCCCTGGGTGGCGCAGCGGTTTAGCGCCTGCCTTTGGCCCAGGCCGCGATCCTGGAGACCCGGAATCGAATCCCACGTCGGGCTCCCGGTGCATGGAGCCTGCTTCTCCCTCTGCTTGTGTCTCTGCCTCTCTCTCTCTCTCTCTCTCTCTCTGTGTGTGACTATCATAAATAAATAAAAATTAAAAAAAAAAATAAAAAATAAAACATTTAAAAAAAAAAAAAAAAAAGATTATTGAAGAAACCCCAGAACATTATTTTCATCACCACAGGAATGAATCACTGGATCTTGTTATTTGAGAACAGCAATTTAGCACATATATTACTATATCACAAATTTCTTTTTTGGTAATTATGTTATCTATGTTTCAATATAATTGGTTTCCTTGGTAATCTCTATGTATTTTGTGATACCATTTTAAGAAGTAGCCAGTACCCTTCAACAGACTACCAAAGGAATCCATGGAAGAAAAATGTAAAGAATCCCTGCTGTAGACTAAAAACTGGCCATAAGTTTACATTTGTCTTGTTATCACTTGGTTCAGTGCCTGACAAATAACAAGGTCCTTGATCACTATATTTTGAATGAATTTTAAGGAAAAAAGGGTTTAGTTTTAGTTGGTTTGTTGATTAACCGCTTACTCAGAATAACTTTGGATGAGATACCTTCTCTTTCAATTATTGAATCCGCATTTATAGATACTTGTGTGCCAGGAGCTTTGGTTCTTATAAGGCAGTAAATATGTGAACAAATCTTACAAAACAAGATAATTTTGTATTAAGTGCCTCAGAGAAAGTCCAGCAGGATTACTTGATCGTGAACAAAATGGGGATGGCCGTGACAGTGGCAGTGACAACACTGGAGAGAATGGTCAGGGAGGGGTGGGACAGGAGATGAGTTCACTGGGGGAGGCAGGGCTGGCTCACCAGGGCCCTGGTGGAGGTAAGATTCTGTTCTGAGTGTATGGAAAGCCATTGATGGCTTTAGGATGGGGAAGAAAGCATGGCATTCTGTGGTTCAGGTCTTGAAAGGATTGCCAGCCATCGTGTGGAGAAGACTGAATAAGAGGCTGCGATGATGGGTCAGGCAAAAGGCAGTGGTATGGAGTAGAGTGTTCACATAATAGCACCTCCTTGTCATATAGGCGGTCATGACATTAAAGCACTTAGCACGGGCCAGGCACCTAGTCAGAATTCAGTAAACATTAGTTCACGTCCTTAGCCCCATAACCCCCCTAGTGGCGCCTTGGATCAGTTCTAGCTATCAGCAAACATGTATTATAAGATCCTGCCTCCTGGCTCAGATTCATCCAGTGGCTTCCAACTCACTCACAGGAAGAGCCCAAGATCCTTTTAGTTTTGTTCCTACCACCTCACTGACTTTTGCCCTATAGTTACCCCCCCCATGTGGTACCACTCCAGTTTTGTGGGCCTCTCTATAACCTTCCTTCCCACCTCACAGGCCTTTGCACTGCCTGCCCCCCCCACCTACAAAGTTCTTCCCCCACATAGCCACGTGGTTTCTGTCCTCACTTCCTATAATTCTACTCACATATTACCTTCCCAATGAGGTGTTACCTCTCCACCCTGTTTAAAAGTATCATTCTACCGACTCCCATATTCCTTCTCTTCCTGGCATTTATTTTCTCCATAACAGTTACCACCTGCTGGCATGCTATAAATTTACTTTTGTGTGTGTGTGTGAGCATAAGTGCCAGGAAGGCTGGAATCCTCTGTTGTTTTCATTGCCGGATACCAAGAGCAGTCCCTAGCTCCTAATAAGCACTAAAATATTTATTGAATCAAGGGAGTGTTTGCTTGGTGCCAAGTCCTGTGTTACCATAAAGATCACCTTCTCCCTCTTCCCACAGGCTTGGAAAACAGTGCTACAGTTACGCAAAGTGCCAAGGGAGGAAAAAGAGGGAGAATGTCTAAAACAAAAAGAGTAGAGTTCTTAGATCTGTTGTTTGAGACTAAAGCTGGGTCTTTTTAAAAAGCAAGAGTTTTATGGAGCAAAAGATGTTTCTTATAGAGGGAAATCAGGCAAGCAAAACGAGGTAGAATGTGTAAAATGTAGGAATTAGAACAGCAATCTGTGAATCAGAAACATCAGGGCACAAGTAGGACATAGCAAGATGTAGCTTAGCAACTTCTCCCAAACATATTTGAGCAATTGGTTGACTTTAAGGTTGGTATAAATTGTCAGGAGTAATATAGGGACAGAAAAGCAGGTTCAGGCAGGTCTAGGTTGCATGAACTCGAAGGGCAGCAGTGTGGAGGCGTCTGGGAGGCTCAGTTGGTTAAGTTTCTGAATACCGATCTCAGCTCTGGTCTTGATTCCAGGGCCCCGCATGGAGCCCGCTTAAAAAAAAACAGTGCTTTTAACTTCAGAGTCATCCGGGCTGAGTCTGGAGCTAGTGCCGCCACTTAACTTAGCATCTAAGCCTTGGTTTTCTCATCTGCCACATGAAGATAACAAGATAACCAAATAAACTTTAAAGAGTTGTTTCTGCCTACTTACCAGAAGGATTTTTTTTAACTTTAAAAAGAGTGAAATGAAAAAGCAGTGCTTTGTGCATGTGTGGTAACATATACGTAACACTTAGCAATTTTTAGTCCTTATCAGATGTACAGTTCATTAGTTTTGAATACATTGACGTTGCAGTGCAGCCATCGCTGTCAATCTCCAGAATTTGTCCTCAGCCAGAAGGACTTTAAAATATGTTATTTAAGTTGCTCTGCACAAATGGCTCCCAACACACTGCGTAAAAGCCAGTGTCCTTTTAAGACCCTATAGCATCTGCTTCTCCCACATGACCGCCTAGCCCTCCCCACACAGATGTCCTTTACTGTTCCTCAGAGCCTTTGCGGTTATCATTTCCTCTGCCTAGAAAATTCTTTCTCTGGGCTTATTCATTCTAGCCAAATGTCGCTTCCAGATAGGCCACCCTTGACCACCCATCCAGAATGGCCTCCCCTCTGCACCTGCCCTGCCCCCTAACCCGACATTATGCTAGATATCCATAGCATAATGGATTTCATTTGTGGACAATATGCTGAAAGGTAAACTTCATCAAGGCAGAGACCTGGTCTGTTCACTGAGTTCCCAGATCCTAGAACGTTGCCCAGCATGTTCTAAGTTCTCACTAATATTTATGGAGAAATGAAGTGGGTAGAGTGGCTGGCCCAGAAGATACTTTTCAAAAGTTGGCCCCTCCCCTCGGTGTGGAAGCCTCCAGAGCAAGGTGCTGCTGACATTCTGCTCTGTTCCTGTAGCTCAGACCATACCGGGGCTCAGTTCTAGGAAGTGTGTCTTAAGAAAGACCCTGGAAGACAACCAAAAACCAGTGGCCAGGTGGGGGGGGAGGGGTACTGGAAATGACACAGGTGAACTCCTGAGGAAACTAAGTTCTTGAGCCCATAGAAGATTGGAATCAGGAACTACAGGCTAGGGATCCCTGGGTGGCTCAGCGGTTTAGCGCTTGCCTTTGGCCCAGGGCGCGATCCTGGAGTCCCGGGATCGATTCCCACATCGGGCTCCCAGCATGGATCCTGCTTCTCCCTCCTCCTGTGTCTCTGCCTCTCTCTCTCTGTGTGTCTATCTCTATCATAAATAAATACATCTTTAAAAAAAAAAAAAAACTACAGGCTAGCTCAGCGGGGGCAGATCCAGTGATAGAATTTGTAATAGTAGTTGGGAGAATTAAGTGAGTTGCTATGGAAGGATCAGATTAGGTCAGTATTCGTCAGACTGGATTGCAGGCACTTCTGGTACAAGCATATTCTAGATCATCTGGAAGAAAAAATCCCTGACGTCGATTTACTTTTGTGTGACTAATAAGACAAGGAGGTGGTTTAATACAAAGTGATGTGTCGAAGACCAAAGAAGACACCCTGCTGAGTCAGAAGGATTTTGAGTTGACTTAAAGAAAAATAGAAGTATAGGTTAAGGGACCTCAGAAGAACCCGTGTTCAGCGTTTGTGCTATAGTAGATGATTTCATCTCAGTAAACCAACATCCTCTTTCACATTACAGTAACATTGCTAATTCCAATTTTCATTGGCCCTGGCTTTATTTGTATTTTCATTTGTAACTGCATTGATTGCAAAATAGGCACTGTATTTGATGGGAGCTATAACCATCAGGAGTTGATACCTCATTTTATGAGTTAATATTTGTCATGTTATTATAAAAGTAATTTAGGAAAACACTGAATCAGAAGACCTTTAAGGTTCCTGGCAACCCTGAGAGCTTGTGGTTTTGCAAATCTTGTGTAACAGTTGTATGGCTATTGCAGCAACATTGCCCAGGATTTAGAAATCTTTCACACATTTGGCTTGAGTTGGCACAGTCTAGGTTCTCTTTGCCAGGGTCTGGTCCCCCCTACGTTGGAACCTGAGCCAACCCTGTTACCCAGAGATAAGAGAGATTGCTAATTGACCCTCTATCTAGGTTTAACAAGGTCAGTCACATTCCCGTTAACCTCAGGAGGCCTCTTTTACCTATGAGTTTACCAGTCCCATCATTTGAAAGATTTTAAAAGTCTGAATGCCTGCAGGATTCAGGTTCTATTAAAAAACCAAACTATACTTTGGGAATGGAGGAAAGAGGATCGGGAGCCTAAAAATATTCTTCCTGCACAATGTTTAAAGTGGACCTCCTCCTGATAACTGCCTAAACTGGTTTAACCTTGCAGGTATTTTTCTCATTTCTACATCATCTCAGTGCTGTGGAATGGCTTCCTGCTTTGGCACCTTACTCAGTCTCTGTTCCTGGGAGTGCCTTTTCCAAACTGGCTTCATGGTCTGCTCAGAATTCTCGGGGCTGCCCAGTTCCAAGGTATGACTCTGCTGACTAGTTAGAACCATTTCATCCTGTTCCTGTCTTTCTGCCTGCAGGAAGCTGTTCCTGGTATTTCACAGCCACCCCCGGGCTCCTCTGTGGGCCCAGGAAGGGGAGGGTGAGGGCAAGAAAGAGTCCTGCATGGTTGCTAGCTAGGTGGCCACAGGGGTGAGACCCCTGTGCTGAGATCACAGCACACTGAGAGTCAGCTGTTCGCCCCAGACTCCCAGCGGGTGCTGTGCTGTGTACAGGACTGGCTGTTCTCTCTGTGATATTTTTAGTACTATCGATAAATTTATACACTTTATACACTTCATTGGAAAAGCTCTTAGGATCCCTCGGGTTTGCCTTGAAACATTTGTCATTTCTATAGTTGAACCAAAGTCCTGTCTCAGAACCCCAGAAATAAAATAATTACTTTTTGATCGCCAGTTAAAAACGCTTGTTATCCTGTAAGCTTTAGTTATATAATAAAATTGACTGTACATAGTTGTTGACCAGAAAACTATTAGCCTTTAAATTCACCTCACTTTACCTCGGATAAAGGATACACAGAACAATTTTAAAAATTAGGACTTGAAGGTGAAAACCATAAGGTGGCCTCAATGTCAGGGAGAGCGTGAGGGGCAGAATTAGAAACAGATTGTTCTGGTGCTATCTCTGTCTTTTGTTCCCCCAGCCAAACCACTGGCTCTGTGGGAACAGTCCTTTCCTATATAACCAGAGGGACTTGTTGCAAACGATGACAGCCAGAAGGGAAGACCTATGCAGATTGTACTTGGAAGGGGAGGAGGCCTCAGCATATCCTACTTCACCCACTAAAACTCTATCTCTTCCTTTGTTTACTGTGGGGTTCACTGGGGCTCTGGTATTTGGAGGGTTGGTTGTGAGGAGTTTTATTTGTATATTTGTTTTAACCTATTCCTAAGGAGTTAAAACTAGGATTTACTATATGCAAAATACAAAAACACCCAAAGCTATTCTGTACTGATAGAAGTCTGGATAGGCCTTACCCATGGGTGGGGAGGCAGTGCCTGGAGGGGAATACAAGGGAGTGCTAGTTGTGTTCTGCTTCTACGACCTGGGTGCTGATTATATGGGTGGAATACGTGGTTTAGTTTGTAAAAATCTGTTAAGCTGTATCCTCACTGTATTCTTGTGTGTGTGTGTCTGTGTGTGTGCATGTGACATTCATTTAAAAAAACATCTAGGTGTTATGTCATTTTAAAAACCAGCATTACTTCCAAATTCTTTTGGTAAAGGGAATGAAAGACAGGTAGGAAGATAGATCTCAAGGCTCACACAGTCCCCTGAAAATATAATTGTCTCTTTTTTTAAAAAAAAAATATGGAAAGAAATGCATAATTCCCTCTGTCTTTGTTCCTGTCCTCTTTTCCCCTTCTTGGCGTGCCTGCGTCTCGTCTCCCTGACTCAGGGATCCCACCAGCTGAGGTTGTTAGAGGTCATCCAAGCATTCTCCTGACCATCTTCATCTGGCTTTTAGTTCCAGGAACCAGAGATCCACAGATAGCAGGTTCTGAGTGCACAGACTCCTTCACAGTGACATACGTGTAACCGGAAGGCTTTCACATGATGGAGAGTCCAGAAACCTGAGTTTGTGACTAGCCAAATTCCTTAACTTCACATGGCCCACTTCCTCATGACTTAAAAAAAAAAAAAAGTGTTACGCTAGATTTTTAGGGTCCTCTCCTAGCTCTAATCTTATTTAAAAAATCTGTTTAACAGCAGAGGAAAAAAATCTAACTTTGGGTTAATCCTGGAAGGAGAGGTGCTAACATGTTGCATTCTGAATTATAGGGAGTGAGCTGGCGCTGTCTGCATTCTTAGTGTTAGTATTTCTGTGGCTACACAGTTTGCGAAGGCTCTTCGAGTGCCTGTATGTCAGTGTCTTCTCCAATGCTGTGATTCACGTCGTCCAGTACTGTTTTGGACTTGTCTACTATGTCCTCACCGGCCTAACTGTGCTGAGCCAAGTGCCAATGGATGGCAGGAACGGTGAGTGGTCCTTGGGGTCTTCTGTTAGCTGAGTCACACTGGGCCTATGAGGTACTTCTCAGGCAAAGCAGTCCACCAAGCATTACAGAAGTTTGAAAGTAGACCTGCCCAACCCACTTTTCATTTGAAGAGTTTGAACTCAACTGGTAGTTAGAAAATGTCAACATGCCCGAGGGGATATATGTTAACTATTAAAAGAATTGCTAAAACCTGAAAGATGCCAACTTAAGCACTAATGCCTATAGTAAAGGTAGTAAGTGCCAGGTGTTCAGGAGGCTTGGTGTAAGGATGAAGAATTGGGATGTGGATCTCCCTTGGTGGGATTGAAGTCCGTGAACTCATGCGGAGTTACTCTGGGAAGACAGAGGGAGTATGGTTAACAGTTGGACAAGAAACAAAGGAGCACCCAAGAACAAGAAAAAGGGTCAGCAAAGAAAGTTGCCCCAGCAAAGGCTCCGTCTCCCTGGGGTGCGGGTGTAAAAGCAGAAGGGTGGTGCAGGATTAAATCTCAGAAAACCCAAGGAGGAAGGGCTAGTGGTGAAAAGTAGTGATTTGAAGAGGGAATAGAGAGCCATTTTGTTGCCATTCAGTTCCTACGATTATTCTGATTATAACAAAGCTTTCCTTCAAGGGAGGCAGCCTGAGCGGAGAGGACAAAAGAGTACTGTAGTGAGTCAGGATTGTGTCTGAACGTTTCTGAGCTTCCACTAGCCAGGAAGAGGGAAGCAAGACCATGACCTTGGTTCATGTGGAGGAAATGAAGTGTGTTTTGGGTGTGTGGGGTGGGGAGGGAGGCTGGAGATCTTACACATTAGGGCTGTCATTTTTGTAAAACCCATGCATGCTTATTACACAGAACTCAAGTCGTTTGGGGTGACTGAAGTTAGATTTTAGTGCTGAGGCTAACCTCACCCTGGGCCTTTGGTATCCCTCTGCCCAGATGCTGTACGGAGACCAGTCATGACTGTTTTCTCTAAGTTCAGGTCTTCACATTTCCTAGCCATCCTTGTAAATAGAGTCCAAAGTCTAGATGTTTCCAGTACTTGGGGAGTGTGCTTTCTCCTCAGGTTTGATTTCAGCTTCAGAGTAGCCCCTTGAACATCCTCTCTGTTGCTATAGCACAACCCAAGGCCTCCATGGCTTGAGAAATGATCTTTCTTAATTCATGAATTATTTATTGGCTTCAGCCACTCAGCTAGCATCTCTCCATCTGGTTCCAGTGAATTTAGCCCGGTCAGTGTTTCCTCCCTGAGCTCTCTGCTGTGGCCTTCACGTGCAGCCCATATCAAGAGCTTACCTGTTATTCATGGTGAACGGTAATAGGATTTCCACCCAAAGGAGCTTTCCGAAGCACTTGGCTAACCCACCAGCTTTCACTGTGTTAGCCTCTGTTGGTATTCCATGTCTCCTCTGGAGCTTCACCTGCTAGCTTGACCCCAGCTTTTGCCCTCCCTTCTATATAAACAGTCAAGAAGAGGCAGCTGAAACACCCACAAAAATCACTTTCTAGACATTGCTTTCTGAAACTTCTGTTTCATCTGCTTCTCTCTCAAGAAGTCCCTCTGCAGGCATTTGGGACAATATGGGGACAACTGGCTTCTGGAATTCATTGAGAGAGAATACACTGGGACATTTGCCAGCTGCAGAGTCTGACAGGAATAGCCTGGGCTTGGGAGTCAGGGGCACCTGGGTCTGAATTCTGGCTTACTTAGCCACCCTCAGCCTCAGCACCTTCATCTGTAATTAGGGGCACATCCTGATATCAGAGGGTTCTTGTGAAAGAGAAAGAACATCTGTAAGCTGCCCAGACCTTCTCGTCTCCTTATCTTCAAAGTCTAGAAGGTCTTCCTCCAACCACGCTCCATTACACTGCTGTATTTTATTTTCCCCAGGATGCCATCTCTACCTAAACTTGTCTCGGTTATTGATTTGCCTACTTGTTTCTGTCTGCCCCTTGCCACTGGAATGTGGCCTCCTGAGGCCTGAGATCTTGCCTTACTCACTGCTTTATCCCTTGTGCAAGATGCCAGGCTCGGTAGACACTCAGTAATTAAAGAGTAAATAAAGAATTAAATACCACACAGATTGGACTCTCAGCCTTCCACCTGCCTCCCCTTGTCTGCATTATAATTCCAACTTAGTCTTTGCAGTCTTTCCCTCAGAGGTACTTTTCTCTGAATCAGAGTGGGTGAGTTGGCAGTGACGTGAACGCTCAAACACTTGCTTCAGTTTTTAATCCTAAAATGATTTGCTCTTATAGCCCTCCAATATAAAACTATTTTTCATATTTTGTTTATCATTAACCTATAAAAATATAACCATTCCATTAAATGGTAAGTCTAGTAAACATTAAGGTCTATCGGAAAGTGTTTATATAGGGCAATTTTTTTAAAGAAATGAACACAGGTTGGTGGACTCCTATTAGTCATGAGCCGTCCTCACCTGAGTCCTACTGCAGTGCCCCTAGGGAATAGCAGGATTCCTGGTTCTCTGACCTGAATCAGCTCCATAAGGTCTCTCTCGGTTCCAGACCCTCAGGCTCTTCCCCTCAGTCAGTCCACAGTCAATGGACACTTTGTTTCTTCAGTCAAGTTCCTAAGCAGCCTGACTGCTTCCTGCTGACCATAAGGAAGTCCTTACTTTGTTTTCTGACCCCAGTCCTCAGAAGACCTGCTTTCTTCCTGTCGTCTTGGTAGCTGGAGAAGAAAGAGGAAGAAGATACTTTGAGTGTTTCTACTTCTGAACTAAATCTATCCTGGCTCTTTCTAATCAGAAAGGGAAACCGTTTGGGTTTTCACCTTGCAGTGATTATTTCTCCTCTTTTGCGAAGTCCCGCTGTGAGCCTTTACTTCCAGTGGTTTTCTTCATTGGCCGGAGCCAGTCAAGTCAGTGTCCTGCATGCAGGGTCCCCCCTGAGTGGCTTAAGGTGGCAACTCAGGGTGAGATTCCTTTAGGAGTGTTTTCCTGACAGTAGACTATAAGAAAGAAGACATAAAACCAGGCTTAGAAATATAAATGCAAAGCAGTCTTTGCAAGAGCGTGTCACAGGAGTAGGACACAGAGCCAACCTCTGTGCTTGAAGCATTTGAAGAGGGAGCAGGAGAATGTGTTCATGTGGTAGGAGCTGCCCCTGGCTAAAGAGCATACCCCTTCGCCCACAGGGACAGGGTTCTCCCCTCCAGACTTGGTAAATTATATCAGGATAATTTTCTAGTCGTGAGGAACTGGATAAGTGGACAATTGTGTCCTACGAGCTGTATACTTCCCTGAGCCTCTCAAATTTTGCAGGTTGGCTGATAAGCTAATTCTTTTTTTTTTTTTTTTTTTTTTTTTTCTGTAGTCTATGTGATAGGGAAAAATCTCTTGATGCAAGCTCGGTGGTTCCATATCCTCGGAATGCTGATGTTTATCTGGTCGTCTGCCCATCAGTACAAGTGCCACGTTATTCTTGGCAATCTCAGGAAAAATAAAGCAGGTGAGATGTCTTTTAGAACCTCTGCATGTGCATTTTAACCCTCAGAAGTTCATTGTGTCTGTTTATCTTTTCCTTTCCTGCCCTAAACTAATTGACTAAGCTGTCCAATACTCATTTTTGATAAGACACCTCTCTGGGTCTTGATCTTCCCCTTTGTAAAATGAGAGCGTTCTGCTGAAAGATTTCTGTGGCCATCTAGCCCTGACATTCTATGGTTCTATTCTGTGCCCGTATTTGGGGGCCTGCACTGCAGATATGGGCCTCACCAGCATGTGAGCATTCGTATCATCATGCTGAGTTAGTGTCATTCCAGCCAAAGCAAAAAAACCTGACTTTTTAGCTAGCTCATGTTGACTTGCCACAGATACAGTTTTTATTAGTTTTTTTGAAGTATCAAAAATGGTATAATACTGTTCAACATTTATAAAGTACTTATGCTATGCCGAACCCTGTTCCTGGTGCTTTACATAGCTTCACAGCACTCACTTGAGGTGAGAACAGTCTCCTCCTCGCTATACAGGTGAGGAAACTGAGGCATGGAGGTGTTAAACAACTTTTCCAGAGTTCCATGACATGTAAGTGGTAGAGTCAGGATTTGAACTCACGCTGTCTGGCTCTGCAGTCTGAGCTCTAATGACTAGGTAGGAGACTTGGTGGAGAAACAGGCTTCCCTCTGTGCTTATCTTCAGTCGATGGTATAATTTAAACCTGTAGCTTTTTAACACATAGTCAGTTGACAGTGGAAGTGTGACAGGAAGTGGGTTTGCACACAGGTCTGTGATCTTTTTTTAAATCAGAGTTTTTGTAAATTACTTGGGGCCCGAGGTGGTAAGCTTGCTTTCCACAACTTCTATGTTCAGGAAGTCTTCTGTTTCTGTTTCAGGAGTGGTCATCCACTGTAACCACCGAATCCCTTTTGGGGACTGGTTTGAATATGTTTCTTCCCCTAACTACTTAGCAGAGCTGATGATCTACATCTCCATGGCTGTCACCTTTGGATTCCACAACTTAACTTGGTGGCTCGTGGTGACATATGTTTTCTTCAGCCAGGCCCTGTGTGCTCTCCTCAGCCACAAATTCTACAAAAGCAATTTTGTCTCCTATCCAAAGCATAGGAAAGCTTTCCTGCCATTCCTATTTTAAGATAACCTCAGTGTTGCATGAAGAATGCAAGCCAGGTGACAGGTTCACTTCCTCAGGACAACAACATCTAGGGACCAAAGTACAGTTCCTGCAGATGGTTTGAAACTCTGTGCTCCTTTTTTATACCCACAAGTCTTCACTGAATGAACAAAGCAATACTGCTCAAGAAAATGAATCTTCAAAGAAGAAATACTTCTGGCAGACCTGGGAGTGCCATGTCTACCTTCGGAGGCTTTATTAAAACCAACCCACTGCTAAACAGTAGATGAGACTTCTCCAAGCTGGCTCAAAAGGGAAGTACCAAGAATATATAGACACTTCACACATGCACACACATCCCCAGAGGAGGGGAGAAGACCATCCATGGCTTGGTTTTTGTTAGGGACAAATGAGCGGGACTACATAATAAGCAACATAGTAGGTGCTGAGTAACTGTTGTATTTCAATAAAAAGCAGAAGAGTTTGAAAATAACAATATATAATTTCACACCAACAGATTCAGGGAAAAATGAGTCTGTTGGAGATAGTTTACACTTTCACATATGGCCACCAAAATTTCCAGTTATGTAACCAGCAATCGTGGTTTCCACTCATTTCCCCCTCAAATCATAGGCTAACAGGAGGTTTGAAATCTTTTATTTAATACCTTTTTTTGACATCTCTTCCAAGGAAGTACCTTTAAAGTGAAAGCAACTGAAAATAAAATATTTTTATATCGATGTGTAAAGAGCCTTCAGTGAATAAATCAACCTTCGCTGCAGACTGGATAGAGCTATAGCCTCATTCATATCCAGTTATTCAAACTGGATTAAGCTTTGCCTGAGTTTAACTACCGAACTATTTTAATGCAGTGAATCTGAAGATTTTGGGGAATAAAGTTTACACTAAAAAAGTTTATGTTAAAGGAAAAAAAACATAATTAAATCAAAGGGAAATAACTGCATGGTTTAAAAGAAAAACAACTTGAAAACTAATGCTAAGCCCGAGCAATGCAGTAAAAATGGTACAACTGTGCAGCATAAGATTTCCTGGTTTAGTGACTGGGGCATCAACTTGATTGCTTTTGTGCAGGTGTCATAGTCTACTAAAGTTTTGCACTAATATGCACCTAGCTGTGGGAGAAAGAACCTTGTCATTAATCAGACACATCATCAAGTGCAGCCTAAGAATGTTCTCCCATCCTCACCCTTGGAGTTGTAAACCAAAGCCGTTAACTGAGATTCTTCTTAATCCAGATTTTCAATATATGTATATGAAAGCACATTCTAAAGTTTTAAAAATAATTCTGCTGTAGCATTTCCTCTCCCATCCACCAAACCCCACTCCACTTGGTTGCTCAGTCTATGCAGATAAATGATGTATTCATTTCATTCATCATTTAGGTTTGCCATCCTCAGGACCAGGACTCAAAGCTTCCTACACCGGAAATGGAAAGCATGTTGCCATCTGGGCTTAATTCCCACACAAATGGCCCACATAATTTTTAATAGCAAACTATTTGGGGAAAGATGTATTTTGCTGTAGCATGCCCTTTCATACCTACATTAGTCAAGAATGTGAGTGATGTTCTGGAATCTCACTGTACTTTTAAGTAAAAGGACGATATCCCCTGTGAGGAACCCTATCAGGGGCGGTTAGAAGGCGTTCCCAGTCCCCTTGTCTCAAGCCTGCTGTTCCCTACTGTCCCTCACATTTGCTTCCATGTCTTTTACTTCCCCTCTCCCTTCCTTGCCCAAACACTGTGCTTCTTAGGTGGAGGCTGAAGACGAAGTAGGGATGTCCTTAAACGGGTTCAGAACAAAGTGGTCTTGGTTGAAAGCTTAACCATGGAGAATAGTTGAGAACTGTGCTGTGCTTGTGAGATCGCGAGCGGCATTGCTCTGTGTGTAATGAAAATGTCCTGTGCTCCCAGACAGGGAGCAAACCCCTCCTGGGGAAAAGCCAGAAATAGGTTGGGCGCTGGAGTCCCCTAATCTTCCTGCCACCATAGTCACCAAGACTCAACCCTTCATTCTATTACTACTGAGTTAGCGGAAATGACACCAGACTACCTCCCAACAGCATTCCCTGGCCTAACTACTGACTGTACAAGTGTGCTGAGAATAGCCTTTGCTTCTGTTAAGTCTCCAAGTTATAGCTCATCCTCCATACTAACATTTGCTGTCAGTGAGCGTGGATCATTTTGTCTCCAGAGGGCTGTGTCCTATGTTACGTTTTTAACATGAAGAAGGATGATTGCTAGAATTCCTACCAAAAAAGAGGGAGGCCTTTTTAGATATTTGTATGACACTTAATAGTTTAAGGAGACTGTAAATATTTGTATGACTACCTGAGAATTCAAGGACATTGATAAGTAATGGACCTCAAAGTGAACCAATATATTAAAGATCTTAGGGGCACCTGGATGGCTCAGTGGTTGAGCGTCTGCCTTTGGCTCAGGTCATGATCCCCGGGTCCTAGGATCAAGTCCCGCATTGGACTCCCCTTAGGGAGCCTGCTTCTCCCTCTGCCTGTGTCTCTGCCTCTCTCTCTGTGTCTTTCATGAATAAATAAATAAAATCTTTTAAAAATAAAGATCTTAAAATAGGAAATGAGCAAGTAGAAATTTTTTACACCTGTCTAAAGCAATTTCTGCCCACCCTTTCACATTGCTTATCGGGGAAAAAATCATTTAACTGGTTTCATAAATTACATATATTAGTCTAACCTAAGATTTTTCTAATAAAGGGACAAGAAACGGGGGGCCTGGCAGTGATCCACAACTAATTCATGTTATACGTACTTCATCACATTTCTCAAATACCGATGATCTAGAAAGCCAGGTATTGATTTTAGGGAAAGCAAAATTTAATTCTCCCAAGTAAAAACTGAATTGCAAAGAGCCATTCTATGCATACAATTGAGAAAGTGTAGTATTAAGTCTCTTCCTTGATAAAGATTCTCAAGTCTTGAAGCAGGGGACAAAAGAACACAAGAGATTTCTCGGCAGAAAGACAAAGCTGCCTCGAGTCTAGCCCTCTGGTAAAACTTCATAGCATGTGTGCAGTTTTTATCAGGGCTCCTTGGCTACACCACACCTTTCTGGGAATTAGACAAGCTACCTCTCAGAACTTCCCCATAGCAGCAGAGCATGAACTTTTGTGGGCACAGAAGGCTGCTGGGGATGGTTCTGTAGCTCCATGGGCAGTGCTCGGGCCAGATCCCAGCCCCACCTCACCCTTTGTGCCTGGTGTCCTTTGTGCCATGCTCCAACTGCACGACCTTCCATAGCTTAGAGACCAGCTGCTGCCTATCTCTGTGCAGATTCTGTTCACTCCTGAAAAAAGCAAGATTCGATTTCATGGAATCATCTTGAGAATAAAACTAGGAGAAGGGGGAATGAAGCAGTCAGTGCAGAACATCTGTGCATCCACTTACAAAAACGGGAATTTGGTGGACAGCAGGTGAGTGACCCTCAAACAGTAGAATGTTGGTTTAGGTGCTCTAATTCCAGCCCCACATAGAGAAAATATTTTGCTTGCTTTCTGACCACCAGCTCCTGTCTTTCCAGCTCATTGTTCTAGGACTGCAACTCCAACCGTCTTCCCACCCTATTGAGACCTCCAGTCTATTAATCTCATGGCATTTTTATTGTCCTTCGCCCATAAGTCTTCTCTAATCTCTTTACCCTGCTTAAATTCCAGGCAAATCACTATGATCATTCCTTCATATATGTCTTCAACTCTTGCTTCTTACACTGCCTCTTCCTACAAATTTAGCAAAGCCACAGCCCTGGTTAGATCGAACTCTTCCCGTGTGTGTGCCCACACAACTAAACAGTGGCTAGAGAAATACAATCCACAGACAGCCCACTTCAAATCCATGACCACTAACTTCAAGTGGTCTTCAATGCCTCAATCATACTAAAATCCTCTAGTCCGTTCACTCTCCCACTCTGCTGACTGTATTACATGTGTGTCCTCAGGAAAATGAAGCTACTGGAAGAGAACTCCCCACAGGTTACCACCACCACCTCCTCCACCCACCTAAGACATCTGTTCCTCCATATGCTTTCTCCTGTTACTATTATTGAAGGATCCTTTTTTAAATGTAAAATCATGATTCTCGTACAAATATAAAATGAACATGCGCCAATAATTTTAACTCATTAAGGGATGAAGGAACCAGTAAATATTAGAACCAGTTCAAAGAATTCCTAACAGACAAATAAATGGATAACGAGGCATGCCAAAATGAATGTAATAGATGCAAATTAATTGCTTATTAGTTGCAAAACTAGCATCTACACAGTAGGGGAGGGAACGCAATTGTACCTCCATCAGACAAAATTCATTTGTATGCCAAATGAAAAGAAGTATTTGCATTCCTATCAGTGGTCTATCAGTTGTAAAATAGCTCAAAGACTCGGGGTAGAGAACCCAGAGTGTGCTAGAAAGGACACCAGTAATATTTTTGTTCACTTGAAAATCATGACAATTTTTTCCTGAAACTATAAACAATATCTCTGGATTTCTTCCCAAAGCCAGGTCCCCTACTTGAGCCCTAGATTCTACATAAGAATGCCTGACCATTCTTCCTCCCACTAGATCATCACATTTTTGCCCTTTCCTCAACATTTCTTTAAGCAGAACCTAATCTCATTCCCCTTACCAGATAACAAGCTTATTTCTGGGCTTGTTTTGTGTATTGGCTTTGGTTTGTTTTTGGTTTTTTGGTTTTTTTGTTGTTGGTGGTGGTGTTTTTTTATTTTTTATTTTTTTGCAACAAAACTAGAAAGATTTATTATATTCGGACTAGCATTGGTTCTTCTCCCACTGACTTGAGTCACTGTGTAGGCCTCATGACTCCAGTGAAACTGCTCCGGGAAAGATTTCCAATGACCCTACTAAAGCCAGTGGTCTGTTCTCAGTATCCATCCCAACACAGCAGCAGCAGCTGGTCACTTGCCCTACTTGTCTACAAGACACCCCCCCCCCCAGTTGGGCTTTCCCCCTAGCTCCCTGGCTGCTCCTGCCCACATTCCTCTACTGACTCCTTCCCCCTTTCCTAACTTCCGAATGCTTGGAGTGTGCAATCCACAGTTCCTGGTTCCTCTCGCTCTCTGTACTCGGTGACCTCATCCAGTCTCAGGACTTTCAAGTACCGTTTATGTGCTGACAACTCCCGTGTTGACATATCTGACCTAAACATCACTCCTGCGCTCCAGGCTCGTATACCCAGTTGTCTACTTAAGAACTCTCTCTGATGTATAACAGATATCTCAAGTTTTGACATGATTTAAAGTTAGGTTCTGACTTTCCATCTCCCGCACCTGATCCACCTACAGTCTTAGGTGGATCTTAGTCTTACTTTCTCAAAGCAAAAATGATAACATCTTCCTTGCTTTTTCCCTTTCCTTCACACTCCATAGCCAGTCTGTGGTTCTACCTTCAGAATACCTCAAGAGTCATCCCTGTTATAATAACTCTACTCAAAAAATAAAATAAAATAAAATAACTCTACTCACTGCCATCTTGATCTGAGCTGCCCATCATTTCTTACCTAATTTACTGCAATAAACTCCTAATCTTTTCCCCTGCTTTCTCCCCTTATCCCTTATGGCTGATTTTCCACACGAGCCAGAGTGATCTTTCAAAAACCTATGCCAGATCTCTCAAAAACTTGTATTATCTCATACTCTTTGCAACAGCTCCCACTTTCTCTCAGATAAAAGCCTAAGTTCCTGTAATAACCTCCTACCCGCCCCCCAACATGATCTGGCCTCCAGTCACCTCTTTCCTCATCTCCTATTTTTGCCCTCATCCACTTCCCATCCAGTGGCCTCCTTGCCGTTCCTTACACGTCAGTCCTGTCTCTCTGTTAGGCCTTTTCACTGGCTGAGCCCTCAGCCTAGAATGCTTGTCCCCGAGATGGCTGCCATACAGCTCATGTCCTTCAGGTTGCTGTATTAGTTATCTATTGCTGTGTAACAAAG